GGCCTTCGTGGTCTTTGCACAGCCCAGCTTTTGAGAAAGCAAACGCCTCTTCGATTTCTAAGATCGACCCTCGTGGTATCTGAGTAGCCTTGCTTTTGAGAAAGCAAATGCCTCTTCGATTTCTGAGCAGGCGCCTCTTCGATTTCTGAAGCTCCGTCGAGTGCAGATTTTTATAGAGGCTGGCATTAAGTTCCAAAGCACCCTTAAATCTCCACCAGTAGAAGCTCCATTCTTGCACTTCTAAGATCTTGATTTGTCCGACCTCTTCTCTCTTCAACACCTTTGAAAATGTCTGGCCCCTCCGACCGTCGTTTTGAATTGAACCTTGTTGAAGAGGCAGCCCCGCCTTCTCCTGACAACATATGGCGTCCATCCTTCGTCTCCCCTACTGGTCCTCTTACCGTTGGGGATTCCGTGATGAAGAATGATATGACCGCTGCGGTGGTGGCCAGGAACCTTCTCACTCCCAAAGATAACAGACTACTTTCCAAACGGTCTGATGAGTTAGCTGTTAAGGATTCTCTGGCTCTCAGTGTTCAGTGTGCAGGTTCTGTGTCTAATATGGCCCAACGCCTATTTGCTCGAACCCGCCAAGTTGAATCATTGGCGGCTGAAGTGATGAGTCTCAAACAGGAGATTAGAGGGAGATTAGAGGGCTGAAGCATGAGAATAAACAGTTGCACCGGCTCGTACATGACTATGCTACAAACATGAAGAGGAAGCTTGACCAGATGAAGGAATCTGATGGTCAGGTTTTACTTGATCATCAGAGATTTGTGGGTTTATTCCAAAAGCATTTATTGCCTTCGTCTTCTGGGGCTGTACCGCGTAATGAAGCTCCAAATGATGAACCTTTGATGCCTCCTCCTTCTAGGGTTCTGTCCAGTACTGAGGCTCCGAATGATCCCCCTCCGGTGCCTTCTCTTTCTGGGGCTCTACCGACTGCTGAGACTTCTCCTAAGCAACCTTTGTGAAGGCTCCCTCTTGTTTGTTTATTTTGACTTATGTATATGTACATATTTGTAGCTTATCGGGGATATCAATAAATAAGCTTTCCTTCATTTCAACGTATTGTGTTAAATACACCAAAGCCTTCTTCGCTAAGTTCTTTGAATTTTCTTTTGTTGAAGCTTTGTGAGTGGAGCATGTAGGTTGAGGTAGTGTTCCCTTAATTTCCTGAGTGAGGAAAACTTCTCGGTTGGAGACTTGAAAAATCCAAGTCACTGAGTGGGATCGGCTATATGAATCTTAGAACGCCATTGTGCTCGGTCCTGTGTCATGTCCTTCGTTAGATCCAAGTACTCTAAGTCTTTTCTTAGAGTCTCTTCCAAAGTTTTCCTAGGTCTTCCTCTACCCCTTCGGCCCTGAACCTCTGTCACATAGTCGCATCTTCTAATCGGAGCGTCAGTAGGCCTTCTTTGCACATGTCCAAACCACCGTAACAGATTTTCTCTCATCTTTCCTTCAATTTCGGCTACTCCTACTTTACCCCGGATATCCTCATTCCTAATCTTATCATTTCTCGTGTGCCCACACATCCAACGAAGCATCCTCATCTCCGCTACACCCATTTTGTGTACGTGTTGATGCTTCACCGCCCAACATTCTGTGCCATACAGCATCGCCGGCCTTATTGTCGTCCTATAAAATTTTCCCTTGAGCTTCAGTGGCATACGGCGGTCACACAACACGCCGGATGCACTCTTCCACTTCATCCATCCAGCTTGTATTCTATGGTTGAGATCTCCATCTAATTCTCCGTTCTTTTGCAAGATAGATCCTAGGTAACGAAAACGGTCGCTCTTTGGTATTTCTTGATCTCCGATCCTCACCCCTAACTCGTTTTGGCCTCCATTTGCACTGAACTTGCACTCCATATATTCTGTCTTTGATCGGCTTAGGCGAAGACCTTTAGCTTCCAACTCTTCTCTCCAAAGGTTAAGCTTTGCATTTACCCCTTCCTGAGTTTCATCTATCAACACTATATCGTCTGCGAAAAGTATACACCAAGGAATATCATCTTGAATATGTCCTGTTAACTCATCCATTACCAACGCAAAAAGGTAAGGACTTAAGGATGAGCCTTGATGTAATCCTACAGTTATGGGAAAGCTTTCAGTTTGTCCTTCATGAGTCTTACGGCAGTCTTTGCTCCTTCATACATATCCTTTATAGCTTGGATATATGCTACTCGTACTCCTTTCTTCTCTAAAATCCTCCAAAGAATGTCTCTTGGGACCCTATCATACGCTTTCTCCAAATCTATAAAGACCATGTGTAAATCCTTTTTCCCATCTCTATATCTTTCCATCAATCTTCGTAAGAGATAGATTGCCTCCATGGTTGAGCGCCCTGGCATGAACCCGAATTGGATGTCCGAAACCCGTCTCTCTTGCCTCAATCTATGCTCAATGACTCTCTCCCAGAGCTTCATTGTATGACTCATTAGTTTAATACCTCTATAGTTCATGCAATTTTGTACGTCGCCCTTATTCTTGTAAATAGGCACCAAAGTGCTCGTTCGCCACTCATTTGGCATCTTCTTCGTTTTCAAAATCCTATTGAAAAGGTCAGTGAGCCATGTTATACCTGTCTCTCCCTAAACTTTCCACACTTCGATTGGTATATCGTCTGGGCCTATTGCTTTTCTATGCTTCATCTTCTTCAACGCTACAACCACTTCTTGCTTCCGGATTCGACGATAAAAGGAGTAGTTTCTACACTCTTCTGAGTTACTCAACTCCCCTAAAGAAGCACTCCTTTCATGTCCTTCATTGAAAAGATTATGAAAATAACCTCTCCATCTGTCTTTAACCGCGTTCTCTGTAGCAAGAACCTTTCCATCCTCATCCTTGATGCACCTCACTTGGTTTAGGTCCCTTGTCTTCTTTTCCCTTGCTCTAGCTAGTTTATAGATATCCAACTCTCCTTCTTTGATATCTAGTCGTTTATACATATCGTCGTAAGCCGCTAACTTAGCTTCTCTCACAGCTTTCTTCGCCTCTTGCTTCGCTTTTCTATACCTTTCACCATTTTCATCAGTCCTATCCTTGTATAAGGCTTTACAATATTCCTTTTTAGCCTTCACCTTTGTTTGTACCTCCTCATTCCACCACCAAGATTCCTTTTGGTGTGGGGCAAAGCCCTTGGACTCTCCTAATACCTCTTTTGCTACTTTTCGGATACAACTAGCCATAGAATCCCACATTTGGCTAGTTTCCCCTTCTCTATCCCACACATACTGGGTGATTACTTTCTCTTTGAAAATGACTTTTTTTCTTCTTTTAGATTCCACCATCTAGTCCTTGGGCACTTCCAAGTCTTGTTCTTTTGTCTCACTCTTTTGATATGTACATCCATCACCAACAAGCGATGTTGATTAGCCACGCTCTCTCCTGGTATAACTTTGCAATCCTTACAAGTTATACGATCCCCTTTCCTCATTAGAAGAAAATCTATTTGTGTTTTTGACGACCCACTCTTGTAGGTGATCACATGTTCTTCTCTCTTCTTAAAGAAGGTGTTGGCTAAGAAGAGATCATATGCCATTGCAAAATCCAAGATAGCTTCCCCATCCTCGTTTCTCTCCCCAAAACCATGGCCACCATGAAAACCTCCATAGTTGCCTGTCTCCCTGCCCACGTGTCCATTTAAATCTCCTCCTATAAATAACTTCTCCGTCTGAGCAATTCCTTGCACCAAGTCTCCAAGGTCTTCCCAAAATTTCTCCTTCGAACTCGTATCCAACTCTACTTGAGGTGCGTACGCACTAATCACATTGATAAGTTCTTGTCCTATTACAATCTTGATTGACATGATTCTATCTCCTACCCTCTTGACATCTACAACATCTTGTGTCAAGGTCTTGTCCACGATGATGCCAACACCGTTTCTCGTTCTATTTGTGCCCGAATACCAAAGTTTAAACCCTGAGTTTTCTAGATCCTTTGCCTTACTACCAACCCATTTAGTTTCTTGTAGGCACATAATATTTATCCTTCTCCTCATCACAACTTCCACTATTTCCATAGATTTTCCCGTTAAGGTTCCTATATTCCACGTTCCTAAACGCATTTTGCTCTCTTGAACTCTACCCTTCTGTCCTAGCTTTTTCACCCTCCCCCGTCTAATAGGATCAAAGTACTTCTTTTGTGTGTCCCGTGTAAAGTTGATAGGAGCATATGTTCCCAAACAACTTTGAGTGGAGTCGTTCGAAAAGAAGTTTCTATGGCCCCCTTGCTCATTTAACACTGCATCCGGGTGCCGATGGAGATACCGCGACCCTTACTCACTTATCACTGTGCTCGGGCCACACAGCGCGCCACTTACGGGTGACGCCCTAGCTTTAGCGCAATTTTGTTCTGAATTCATTTTCATAAGGATTCGACGTGATCATGGAGTGCCGACTGTCGACTACCTGACGCCCTCCCCCTCCTCCTTTATCCGGGCTTGGGACCGGCAATGTAAGTACATAGGCAGAGTTAATAAAATGTCATGCTATATAAATAAAAAAAAAACGTAAGCATGACATGATGGACTAAATTGCCAAGACGGCAATGATCTGTTTTCATCTCAGTAATTTTGGAAAAGCTAAATACTAAGAAGACCAAATTTCCGAACTTTTGTAAACCAAAATTTAGTCTCATATTATCTTTTTGTGGATAAGCATAACGCGTGATGCCATAAAGATTCAACGGTCAACTGACCATGACTACCACATTCGCATTCTACGGATTATATCCGTTAGGCGTTAAGGGCATGATAGACATTTCGCATTGATTCTAAGTTTCTAACGCGACTCAGTGTTCGATCACTGACTCGGCGCAGGCAACACCGTTTAGTGCGTCGATAAAAAAATTACAAAGATATGCATACATGGAGTAATGAGGCTTGTAAATTGTTACCAATCTTCCTCGTGTTGGTCTGGGTGAAAAGGTACATGAGAAGATGAACGGTCCTCAAGCTGAAGCTCTGATTGTACGACGACAGAGCTCTCTGCATCTCCTTGTCATCGATGAAGCCGTTGCTGTCCTGATCCGCCAGCTAAAAGCAAGCTATGACGTTCGGGTCCGTGCCAGGCGGGAACACCGACGGAACCAAAGCCGCGAACGGGCTGCCGTAACCCGGACCAGGCGCAGGATATCCTCCGCCGCCGCCTTGATTCTTGTGAGGCTTGTCTGGATTGTACGGCTTCTCTGGAGCATAGGGTGCGCCGTATGGTGCGGAGGGTGGGGCGCCGTACGGTGCAGACGGAGCACCGTAGGGTTGAGCTGTCTGGTGCTGGTGCTGCCCTTGGGGGGGGAGCGCCGTAGGGTTGACCTGGCAGAGTGCTTCCGTAGCCGGAGCCGGGAGGAAGGTGTGGGTAGCCTGACATTTTTTTATTGTTCTTTTAGTGGTCTGAAAATTTGGTTTGGGTATGTTTGCAGATTTTTCAAATTGATGGTGATTCACATCCATCAGGATTTCCATCGCTATTTTCAGAGTTTGACGGTGAAGAAGATCAGATGATGGGCTGATGGAATGAGAAAGTTAAAAGACACTTGGAGAGAGAAATTAATCAGAGGTTATAGACCTTTTCTCTCTCCATCTGGAGCAAACAAACCAAATGAATGGCCAAGACTTAATGTTAGGGGTAAAATCGGAAGTTGGATAAATTATTTTTCTTGGGTCATTTTTATTGGCTTGGTTTGATATTGAGTTTTATTTTAACCATTAAATAAAATTAATACATGAATTTTGGTTAAAATTCAAAATTTGAAAGTCTTTTTTATTAGTTTTTTTTTTAATTTAGTGGTATTGTTTTCAAGGGTAAACTACTATTTGACCCTTTGAACTATTACCCCAATTGAAATTGACCTCCTGAACAATTTTTTTTGGTAAATTAACCCATTGAACTATTTGAAATTAGCCAATTAGCCCTTGTCGGTAGATTCCGTCCACTATTTCGTCAAATTCAAGGGCAAATTAGTCTTTTCATCATAAATTCTTACTTGTCAACTATAACCACCAATAAATTTATGACATATGGACACAAAATAATGTGTAATAACAATGTGAAATGGTCCTTTATGTAAACGTTCGGTTTTCTTATGTTTTCTTATTATGCTATATGTTTTACACATTATTTTGTGTTCGTGTGTTTTAATTTTATTGGTAGTTATCATTGACAAGTAAGAATTGATAACAGAATGACTAATTTGCCCTTGAATTTGATGGAATGGTGGACAGAACCTAACTGCAAAGGGCTGATTGGCTAATTTTAAATATTTCAGGGGGTTAATTTACCAAAAAAATAATTTAGGGGGTCAATTTCAACTGAAGTAATAATTCAGGAGGTTAAATAGCATTTTACCCTTTTTTCAATATATACTATTTATTATGAAAACCCTTTTTGTCAACCATTTTCAAAAGTTCAAGCTATGTCCATACTCAAATCAAATCAAAGAACAACAAAACAAATAAAAGAAAATACCCTTATTAAATTTGGAAAATTGGGCTTAGAAGGTTAAGTGGAGCAATAAATTGTTTTGCCAATTTCTCTCAATTATCTAAAATTGTTTACAGGCCCTTTAGAACTTTTTTCTGCAAATGACGCTTCAAGTCAATATAGAGGAATCGAACACGAATCTCAAGCATACGTGAAAGCTCAAGTGATCAACACAATATCAGCGATTTTGATTTATATTGCTTTCTGCATGCCATTTTGTGAATGCAAAAAAGATTATAAGCCTTCATAATCTCAAATTCTCAATAGTCACACAGTTTCCTCCACATGCCATCAATTGCTCACCGTATCAAGTTTTTTTCTTTTCTTCCGTTTGCTTGGATGCCAAGAAAACCCGAGAAAGTCGAAAAAGAAACCTAGTGCTGTTCGTGGCCAGGATTTCCGTTGGGGATGTCTCCTAGCCGACGAGCACACAGCTCCCCGAGAGGTTGGCGCCGATTGATGCTTTCTGTCGGGCTTCTGCTTCACTGGCGAGCTTGTCGGGCAAGGCTGAAAGAGAATGACAGAGTTAACTTTGAAAGGTGCCCTTGTGGGGCCTTAGGTATAGGCCTTGAGGCTCACAATCAAAATTAACTTTTAAGTGTTCAGGCGTGCTACTGCCATCTTTAGCATGGCAGATGTAAAATGGATGTTGAGTTTTAGTTGTACATATACCCGAGAGGCCGTGTTAGTTATGACAGGTGCCTTTGTGGGGCCTTAGGTGTAGGCCTTGAGGCTTCCGATCAAGAACTAACCCAGTACTCGAATATACGATGTCTGTTTTATTGTTTGCAGAAGTGTTATAGCCATTATACTTCTGATTATCCGAGCTCGCAGAGCAGAATAAACCCAAATAGGTGCATTTGTAGGGCCTTAGATATAGGCTTTGAGGCTTCCCATCAGAATTCCTTCTATACTCAAACGTTCTACTATAATCATAATATAATAGAAATAAAACTAAGAGATAGATCGATTACTTGCGCCCCAAGTAACTTCGGACTTCTTGTTATCAAAGCTTGTCGTGGATGGGTTAAGTCCACATAAGGTTCTTTTTTTATGCCTTGAGGCCAAGGACTTTTGAATGATCAATCTTACATGCCCGAAAGCTTAGAACTTAGATCTGGTTTGAACTGTGAAGACATATTCAAATCGGATTCAAGAACTAAGAGAGTCTTTTAATCATCATCTTACTAGAAATAACTTGAATACAATTGGAAGTATATAACTTATTGCTAGGCTAATGAATGAAAAGACAAAAACAAAGAGGGTCGGGCAAGGTTTAACCTTGTCGGCCAAGGCTGATTGTCTTGCAACTTCCTATCTTTGTGGTTTATCAAGGGGTTTGAAAGCTTTAGAAAATGAGGTAGGGAGTTGAGTTTGTAGAAAGAAATTGATACTACAGCAAGCTTAGGACAAGGTAGCAGAGCTATTACAAAGGCTTTTGGTGAGGGTTTATCCCGAAATGGATGAACGCTTGGGCTGACTACAGCTTCGTTTGAAAGCAAATCTGGCTTTTGAGCAGAGTTTGTGCTTGTATTTGTTTGTTTGATTGAGTGTCCTTATCTCTGATTTCTCTTTCTTCTTTTATAGACACTTCAGTTTGGCCTCTTGTAGCAGTAATCTTGCCCGAATGCAGCTTGAAGGGTAATGACTTATCAGCTATTTACTTGTACTGCCACTGTAAAGTGCTTTTGGGCTGATTAGCTGGCTGGTCTATACCACTTGGTCTCTAGGCAGGTGAGCAAGTGGTGCAACTGATATGCACCTAGTTGGGAAATGCCTTTTTTGCCCTATGAGCTTTGGCTGGGCTTCGGGCTTTTCCTTTTTTTTTCAGACCTCCTTTTGGGCCAACTCCTGCTTGTGCCCAAAGTTCAAGTTTTAACCCAAACAGTGCCCCCTTCAATCAATATTCAGACTGGAACTCCAAGCACCAATATTGATTGAATAGCTGCATGCATATGTACCCTAGTTCTTGGAACTTGTATCTTCTAGTTGAGATCAACACAACCCGGAGTCTCTTGACCTTCCCATGACTCTTGAACTACCTTCTAATATTCCTATAAATTCCTACTTAAATCATCTTCAACCTCCTCTGTTATCAACCCTGAGCGTTTTTGCCTCCGTAATTTTCTTCCCAAAACTGTGAAATGGGTTCTTCAGGATTCAAGTGGGGTTTCCTAAAACTTCCTTTTCGTGAGAAAAAAAGTTTTCATCAGATAACCATTATCTCCAACACCTTTGGTCAAACACCCTGTTATCTCCAACACCTTTGGTCAGGTGGTTTCCTCATGAAGACTTGCCTCCTTGCTCGTTGTCATGATAAGTCAGGCTTCACCATCATGTATGGTAATGGCTCTGCCTGAGGATCCTCTACCAAGCTTATCTTGGCCGCACAATCCGATCACCTGATTGGATTCTATCCATGAAGACATCGGAAAACCAGCTGAGACACCATTGCACCCAGAAGGAATCGAACGTAGCACATCGGAATTGAATCTGTTGTAAATTTCACCAATTTGTCGAAATGAAATAAACATTATTTAAGCAGCTTTGTGTCTTTCTGTCTTCTTGAATGATTGATGAACATACACTGCACTTTAGTATCCCGAAGCTTACTTTACCTTGCATCCTCTTCAATATAACAATCTCTAACATCCGATAATGTAGGACAATATTTTTTCAAGAATTTAACATTAATGGGATGTTTCTGCCAATTTCCTTCGAGGTCCGCCAAGTAGTATCCTCATTTGTCTAATACTCGACTAATCATGAAAGGACCTTCCTATGTCGGACACCATTTTCTGAAGCCCCTAAGCTGGGCTCCTAGAGAGAAGGACTGTCTTCCACACCAAATCTCCTTCCTTGAAAGACTTTATCTTTATCTTTTTGTTATAAGCTCGGGCAACAGCTTTCTTCCCTTCCTGAATCTGGTTCAAGGCTTCAATTTGGGCTACATCTAAGTCTTCAATCCCTTAACACATGGCTTCGATATACTTTTCACTGTGTAACCCAAACTGATTTTGAATTCTGACAGAATTTACATTGATCTCCATGGGAAGCACTGCATCTTGCCTGAAAGTTAAAGCATAAAGATTTGTCCCTGTTCCTGCCCTCTTGGAAGTTCTGTATGCCCACAGAGTATTTCCCAGCTTTTCATGCCACTTTTCCGGACTATCTGTCACCATTCTTTTGATAATGTTTACCAAAATCTTGTTGCTGGATTCTGCCTGGCCATTTGACTGTGGGTAGTAAGGACTGGACTGGATCATCTTTATTTTGTATTTGCTTGCAAACTCTTCAACTTCTTTTGAAATAAAAGATGGTCCACGATCCGTTACTATGGTTTCGGGCACCCCAAATCTATACAGAATCTTGGTTTCAATAAATTTTTTTACTGTAGCTGAAGTTATGGATTTTACGGCCGAGACTTCTACCCATTTGGTGAAGTAATCCGTTGCTACAATTATGAAAGTGTGCCTCTTGCTAGAAGCCGGATAGATCTGCCCAATGAAGTCCATTGCCCATCCTCTGAAGGGCCAAGGCTTAACCACTGGATTTAAAGGTACTGAGGGTACATGTTGGAGAGGACCGTGCCTTTGACATTCTTCACATCCTCGGGCATAGGACTTGCAATCTTTTTCCATGTCGGGCCAGAAATAACCATACCTTTTAAGCAACCATCTCATCTTCATTCCAGCCTGATGTGCTCCGCATACTCCTTCATGTACTTCAGCCATTACTCTCATGGATTCCTCTTGGCCTAAGCATTTCAATATTAACCCGTCTGGAGTTTTCCTTAGCAGGTCTTTCGCCCATAAGACATACTTAGTTGCTTGCTGTCTATTCTTCTTGCTAGTGGGTGAAGAGGGATCCCTTAAATAATGAATGATGGGCGACCTCCAATCTTCCATCTCCGTTTCTAGAACCATTACATCCAAACTAAATCCTCTTTCCAGGATAGAAGGAAGGTTTCTTCTTTGAATCTCGACATCTACCCCATATTTCCTTTCCTGTATTGGCATGCCTGAGGCTAATTGCGCCATCTCGTTGGCCACTAGGTTGGATCCTCTGGGAACATGACTAACCGATATCTCAGAATCCCAATAACTCAGCAA